AAGATTTCTACCACTGCACAGAGCTGTTTATTAAAAGGAAAACGTGTAATTTAGCCTAGAGCTGACCCAAGATATTTTGCTGCCTGAACCAAAGCAGTAAACTTTACCCCCTCCTGTGTCCATTCAAGTCAGGATACATAGCATTTCATTTGATACATGAGCGAAAAATTACCACAAAACTCCTCTCCACATCCCAGGTAGTAAAAATACAATGAAAACCAATAAAATAACCACTTGTAATAACCTGCTGCTCCCCACATCTGATGCCTGAGGCAGCTGCCTCATTCTACCTAAAGATAGGGCAGGCCTGATCTGGCCATCCAGTTGCAGAGCAACAAGGTATAGGAACAAGCACTTTTATGTGCTGGCACTTAACAGAATCATGTATGTGAAAGAAATGGGCTGGATCATCCTGTTTGTAAACTCCACACTGATCACAGGATTCAGTGCATGGAAAAATTATTTTTTGGACTGTAAATCCCAGTAGCCATTCTGGCTGTGGATTTCTGGATGTTGTAATCCAAAATAGTAACTTTTTGAGCCTCTGGTCCAGATGGTAGCATTTTTGATTTTTTAAAAGCCTTCTGTTTGGCACAGAAATATAGGCTCCTCATATGAGATTTGCTCTTGAGCCATATGCCTAATGGCCCACACAAGAGAGTAAGGAAGTTTCTTACTCCTCAGCTGCAGGGTATGTTACAACCAAAGCCAAGGTAAACAAACACCACGCAACAGGGGGCAGTGCTGAAATAGCCGTCAAACTAAGAAAAAGAAGCAAGTAAAAAAATTGAAATGAAACCAAACTCTGATCACTTCTGCAGCCATTTCTAGAAACAGGCAAAAGAAGCCTGTGGGGTTAAAGAGAAGGAGGAAAAAACATCCCACGGTGAACCCAGCAAGAGTGTCACTTGAGAGTGTAATCTTTCCACTTCTGGAAGTGAGAGGAATGGAAGGAATCGCCCATCCCACCTGAGAGAATCACTCAAGCAGCAGAAACAGCTCAATTTCTCTTTCATCACTACTGCGAGGAGGGCGCTGCTTGAGAAGCAGATACAACAGTGTTGGTTATGACCTTTAAAGGCCTACACAGCTTGGGTCCAGACTATCCGAATGATGTTAACTCCCTAAACAGGCCAGCCTGAGCTTTACGATGTCTGTGGGGGAGGACTTTTTCCGGGTCCCCCCACCATTAAAGGCACATTTGGTGAGGACTTGGAAGGGAGCCTTCTCAGTGGCTGCTTCCAAGTTGTGGAATTCCCTTCCTTGGGAGTTCCGACTGGCTCCCTCCCTGCTGGCTGGTAAAGACAATTTTTATTTAGGGAGGCATTTGTTGTGGCAGATGGACCTTTTAATGGGAGGTATTGTGTTTCTATTTTATTATGTTTTAAATGTATTTTTAAAAGATTTTTTAACTTGCATTTTTTAAATAGAAGTCTGGTTTAATTGTGTTTTCACTCTTGTATTACCATGTAATAGCATTTTTACTTGTATCATGTTTTTAAATGGTTGTCAGCTGCCTTAAATCCCATGCTGGGAGAAAGGCAGGCTATATGTTAAATAAATACATGCAAAAGTACATAAATAAACAGGGAGCCCAGTTTCTAAAGGGCCCAAGGCATCTGCAGTTGCATTTACAATGTTATGCTATAGGTCTTGTTTATTTCAGACCTATTAGCATTGGTGGTGCCTGCAACTTCCATATATTTGGGGCATTAGAGCCATGCCAGGAAACAATCAGTATTTTAAAGAAACCATCCGAAGGGCTGAACTTAATTTTAAGTCTTCTGTTTTTTTAATAAATAAATAAATAAATAAATAAATACATTCCTAGCCCTCTTATTGGTGGGTCAACAAGGAAAAACATAAAAGTAATACAGGTCAAGTCTCCCTCATCTGAAATGCTTGGTGCCAGAAATATTTCAGATTTTGGATTTTTTTAAATTTTGAAATATTTGCATGTTCCAAATATTCAAAAATATAAAATAAAACCCAAAATCCATAAATTAATAAATAAAATTAATTTATGTTTCATATACATCTTATACACATAGCCTGAAGGTAATATAGTACATAATATTTTTAATAATTTTGTCCGTAAAAAAGCTTGTATATGCTGAATCATAAGAAAACAAAGGTGTCATTTTCACATCCACCCATGTGAACAATTTTGGACTTTGGAGTATTTTGGATTTCAGAATTCTGGATATGGCATATTCAACCTGTATTTTGCTCAACTGCTCTCTAAAGACCAAACTATATTACACTTTGTGCATAGCATATGGCAAAGCTAGGTCTCTTCTTTTTCTTACAGTAAATTAATTAGAGTTACAGGGGTTATTTGAGGGGAAAATCACAGCACAGATTAGAAAGAAGAAGATTATCTCTTCCTGCCCAAGCTGTGACAAAGAAACTCTGCCTTCGATTTGAATTATAATGAAAAAAATTATCCTTGTAAAAAATGCAGGGTGTTTCATTATTGTCCTTTGTAGAAATATGGAGCAGGATGTTACCAATATGCTGATGACACTCAAATATTCTGCTCCATGTCTCAGTCAACTGCTATGACAGCAGATGGTGGTTCTCCTCTCAATCAATGCCTTGAAGCGGTAATGGACTGGATAAGGAAAAACCGACTCAAACTGAATCCAGACAAAATGAAGGTACTTACAGTAGGGGCCCCAAAACCAGAGATTGGGTTGTGACCGCCAGTCTTGGATGGGGTCACGCTCTCCACCAAGGACTGTGTCTGCAGTCTGGGGGTGCTCCTAGACTCATCGCTTCACATGATTAATCAGGTGAATGCAATAGGCAGGAGCGCCTGTTATCAGCTTCAGCTGATACACCAGCTGTGCCCTTTCCTGGAAGTAAAGGACCTAGAAACCTAGAACTCCAAGATGTGATCATATCACTCCGATCTTGAAATCTCTCCACTGGCTGCCAGTTAGTTTCCAGGCACAGTATAAGGTGTTGGTGTTGACCTTTAAAGCCCTACATGGCCTGGGGCCATCTTACTTAAGGAATAGCCCAGGGGTAGGCAACCTTTCCCCTTTAAGGGCCGAGGGACTT